TTGAAATTTTCATATAATTTTTTAAACACAAATTATATATAGATTATATTATTAATTCAATTTCGTTTTCAATACTTACCTTTAGATAATTAAATATTTAAAATTCAACAAATGTAGTTATTATATTCTATTTATGTATTGTAAACAGTATTAAGAACCTTAATAAATTATTAAATTTTAAAATAAAAATATCATAAGAAAATAAGAATTGATCATCAAAATCAAAGGTACGTTTAATAAGTAATAAAAACAACTTAAAACACAATTTATGTTAATTTTTTTTATAAAAATTTTACAATTAATAATAATTGAAAAACATTAAGGCAAAAATTAGCATACACGTCTTTATAAGTTATAAATTACAAACTTTTCTGTTGATTCACCATCCATAACTAACAAAATTGTGCTCAGTGGTGGTTTCGACCATATTGGCCTTCTTAAACTAAAAAAAAAAAATAAAGATTTAATTAAATTAATTTTTATGTTGCACATTGTTACAGTGTCGTAAAGTTACTTTAAAAAAAAGTGCTTTAAATACTTCTAAAATACTTAAAAAATATATTTTTAACACTTTTTTSGAATAATTTGTAGGTTTTTTTAAATTATTTAAATAAAAAATAAATATATATTATACATTTACTGATGCATTTTTTTAAACATTAGATAGTAATTTATGTTAATTTAGGATAAATTACGTATTTTATAATAATATTTCATACAGAGGAATTTGGTTATTAAATTGTGAATTGTTTAAGATACTTAAAGGTTTGTAAAACCTTTCGTCGRTCGTGGTAGTCTTTTTTTATYGAATTATTTGGTTGAAATATGTTAATAATATTTACTTGGATGTTGGATAGTAATTTTTAGAAAAACTTATAACATATCTAAACAATTAATAGGTATTAAACAATATATAAATTAAAAGAGAATCAAAGTATTACTGACAAAATTAAAGTATTTCAACTTCAAATACCGTTGAGAATATTTAGTGCTGAAAAACTGAAAAAGTATTAAAATAAACACTCAAATAAAATCATTCTAATACTTATTTCGATTATTTTACAATACTGAACATATATAATTTACTGTACAAAATATGTTACTATACTTCAATGAATGCGTATTTTAAAGTATCCAAATATGAATTGTAGTCCATATTTCCATTAACTGAACTCATCTTGAATTCCTCAGTAGTACGATAGATGAATTTAAAGAGCGAATCTAAATCTGAAAATTGGCTATCTGTTTTCTTAAGTSCTGACCTAGGTACCTACAGTCACAAAAATGTATTTTTAAATATTAATTTTATAAAATGTTTATATTTTTACATATATATATATTTTTTTAATTGAAAAAACTATCAACATATTATAATATAATATTTTCATGACATTTGGTTCGTACGTTTTTGTTAAGGTATCAAAACATCAAAATAATTGCATTTTAAAGTGATATAATATTTGACACGGTGTTGTAGGTATAAATGTATTATAAATGTATTATATCATTACGATTAGAACATCTCATAATAATTAAAAGCATTCATGAATAATGAAATGATCACTGTCTCGTAATACATAAAAGTATATAGCAAGTTGATTATAATAAGATATAAATAATTTAGAAAAAAATGTTTTAGACTAGTCACTTAATATTACATTAGAAAATATACATATTCCATAACTGTTCCATAAATTAATGTAGGCATGGAAAAAATATATAAAATGTATATAATATTTATGTAATAAATAACAAACACTTGAAAAAGTCAAAAAAGTAAATATCCTTTTAAAAATATGTGATTTTTTTATTTATAGATAGCAACACTTATGAGTATATTAAATTACTTGTATTGTGTTTAAAACAATAAAACAATTTAAACCTTAAGGCAATAAAATCCAATTATTTTTAATTTTTTCGAATATAATTCGACACAAAGATGGTTTTTTTCAAATACTAATAAAATATATGATTATAGTACTACAAGTTGTTAAATTAAATATTATCTAGAATTCGATATGTGTCTTAAAAAATAATTTGTCAGTAACTTCCTTACCTCAATGATTGAATTGTATGGAACAGGAATTTCTGACGTTAGAATATGGTTTTCATCAATTTCCACAGCCTAAAATTATATAATTAAATCTATATTAATAAAACATAATATATAATTTATTTTACTTTTCGCCAAAAAATTCTTTAAATTGTAAAACCACATTATAATTGTATTGAACATAATATGATTTCATGGAGGTACAACTGTACAAGCTTATAATATAAACAGTATATCAAATCATAAAAACAAAAATATTAATATTAAAAGCTCAGTCATTTCTATATTATAATGTCTMAAATCGTTATTATTCCGTAAAATGTGATACTTGTTTTCAGTAGATTTAAAACATATTTTAAGTAAAACGTTGTTTTTGTTTTTTTTACATAACTATTCAATATATAMATTGCTCAAAAGAATCAGTTACTAAATTAATATGAATGACAAATTTAATTGTAAATTATTATTTAATATTTACCTCTAAATTCACTAGATATCCAGTGGAAACCAGGGCCAACCACAATATAAATGACATGACGATTAATGGTTTTGAAGTTTCACCTAAACAATACAAATTGTCTACTAAGTCGGCCCGAAACTAAACACAATATGCTTTATGTTTTGTCATTGTTACACTATGCAGATAATATAATTATTCAGTAGATAAAAAACTATTTTAGAGAGRGTGAGAAGCTATTGGTACTACAACAACAATGTTTTTGATAACAATTTGAATTTTTATAGCATAAATACATAATTACTCAGAATACGTTGTTACTTAGAAGTGAACATTTCATACATCATGTCAAAATATTGCCAGTTWAGAATATCCAAGTACAAATAATACGTATAAAAAAATAAAAATTGTTTAAATTGAATTATTACTAGGTAATTTGTTTTTAAAAAAGATATAAATAAATGTTTATTGACTTCAAATTGTTTTTATATTATATTATCTTTATATCYATTAAATACATTTTCAGTTATTACTAATCTTATCTTATATTGTGAACAATGTCATGAAAACAATTGACAGTGGAGAATCATTATGAATAACTCATATTATTAATAGTAATTTTTGCCAATTAATATTACWTTACGAATTGTTGAAAAACATCAATTTAATCTCGGTACATTTTTTAAACATTAAATATTGAGGAACAGTTTAATTTTAGAATATGCTCATTGRTTATTGTAGTACATTGTGTAATATTAAAACCAATTACTATTATTAGTGAATATTTATAAATACACTACGCCCTAATGTATCAATTAAAATTCACAAATTATACTATAMTTCTGTTTAATAATCAAAACAATCTGAGCAAATATGTACTTTTCAGTTATTATAATGAATACTAAATTATTCGTATACCCGACCGCATAAAGACAAACGCGATAAGACTCGTAACTTTTTACATATTTTATAACTCACATTATGAATGCAGGCGTGGGGTAATGTATTATTAAATAAGTAGATATCTGATCCGATGTAACGAAATAAAAATATTGTGATCCAACATTCATCATTGTATTATATTATTACGTTGCTTATGTGCATATATAACTCAACGATAGTATAATAATCATAATTGATATTTCATCTGTTTGCACATTATAAAACGCAATTAGTGAAAAAATGAAAAAGAAATGTCAAAGCATGTTGTGAATAATAGGTACATACTACCTACCTAATTGATTTTTAGAGACGGTAGTGAAGTCAAGAAACGTGCCAATACAAAATTATGGTTGTATCTACCAACAGACGGGGTGATGTTTGACGATGATATTTTTGGGTCACGCGTGTTTTTTCGGTTGATCGGAGTGCATTATAACCCATTTAAGATTTATCACGCTGACCGGGAACAAGGAGAATTTTTAAAACATCGGCAAATGCTCTCTACCCCCTTCCCCCCACAAGAGACCATTAATTACTATAAGCGCACATTATTTATTTTATTATTATACAAAATGCCTTATTTAATTACACGCCGATGTGGTGCCACACTATAAAACGGGCGAAGTAAATGGGCCTATACGTCGCAAAGGCTCGCCATACCATCGTCGCGGTCGTCGTCTTGGTTACGAGACCATAACACTCGGGACCCGGAAAAAAGCTTTTGCATGCCAACCAAGAACGGCATCGAGGAGTGGTATGAGCGCGATGCATCACGATATCATTATATGTTGTGCCTTTGATCTTGGCGCATGTTGAATAATATTAATATATATATATATATAACGTTTGCATGTCTATATAACATATTATATATTTATACATATGTATGTCTATGATACATCATGTCTCGGGCTCATGTCATCATATCCCTAACTGCACACCCGACCATCAGAAGTCTATGCAGACGACTGGAATCATCATTGAACGGCGATTGTTGCGAAAAACGTATGTTTTGTTCGCTGCTGTAGATTATTTTTTCCATGATTCTCTGTAGGAATTGTTCGATTTTAATTAAAATCCGAACGCGATTAGATTCGACGGCGTGTGAGTATAATTTTCCCCTATATATATATATATATATACGCGGTGGATCGAGGATGCAGAGAATATCGCTAAGTAGCGAAAGTCATTAAACACACCAGTATACACATACACGACGTACTTTTAGCCGTTTTATGGCTTAAAAGCCGAATTGTGTTTTTATACACATGACGCGTGTACACAAATGTAAACCGCTTATATATACGGAAAGGGTTTTTGCAATTTTATTTCCCCTCTCTCTTTCCCAAGTTCATTATTATTATATACCACCGAAGAACAAAAGATGAACCTCTTCACGGCTGTTCAAACATCCTGGGACGGACACTCGTCAACACAACGCGTTGGTGAGACTGATATTATAGTTTGTGTTACAAGATGGACCACCATCGTTTATTCTCGTGTTCCTATATCTAGCCAAGTTGCCAACAAAGACAAACACGCGCTCGAGTTGATAGTTATTGTTGATAATAATACAAATGGGTAATGCGTGAATTGGGCCGCTAGGAGGTTTGTAATACGAATACGTATTATTTTTTTTTTCGTGACGATAATAATATTGTACAATTGTAACGCTAAACGCTTTAAATGTTCATCCCCMATCACTCATCCCCAACACCATAGAACCGAATACTACCGTGGTTAGTAATGACGTCGTCGGTCGACCAACGAATGTTGGGGATATTTGGACAGATTTTATACATCGCGTTTTCTCTACGAAACAAAGGCCGCAAAGACGCGAAAACAGTTTTGAATGCCATTAGCGCACCCGTATCATTCGGATTACGAATGTTATAACGAGCCGAGTCAGGTCTCTGAGGATTCCGTGCCGCGGCTGCTGTCTCTTTGCTTTCTGAGGGTCGTTTAATTAAGAAGTTTTGGGGATTCATTACACTGTAAAATAATAACCCGAGTCTTCTGACTCAACCCCCCGACCATCCCCATCTCACTGGCTGGCTAGGGTAATTTCGTCTAATTATGATGTAAACGTCTGTACCTACATTACAGTAGCGGACCCCATTATGTATAATGTTATACTGGGGTATTATAATATAACGTATAATATATATTACCTAGCTATATTGTATTATAAAGGTACCTACACAGCCACGCATGTAAGACTAAAGAGCAAAACTGGATACTTATACTCATTCTGCGTCATGTAGGTACACACCTATATGGTACCGTATACGCAGAGAATGAAATAATAATAGCTCTTCTCCCAGTAACATAATAGGGTTACATATTATACTTACAATATGATATATTTGGTCACAAGTTAAACACGTCCAGATTCGCAATATATGTTTGTCATGATTATCTAAAATTAATGACAATATTATGTATCATTACTTTACC